AGACGTGTGCTCTTCCGATCTCCCCAAAACCCCAAAACCCCAGCTTGAGGTATTTTAAGAATATTCTTCAAATGTAAAATATAATTTATATTAAGAGCAATTTAATCAGAATAAAACTCTTGCTGTAAGACTTATATTATCATTATATTTGAAACACTAGCCTTCAAGGAACATATCTTTAATCAAAGTGGCATTCAGGGCAGAAATAGCATTTAATTAGCCATTCTTCGCTACAGGATTTATGAAATTCATGCCCACAAAGCAATTTATGACAAATATCTACTTCTTGTATTTCAAGATTACAAAGAAGACAAACTTTTTCCTTTTGTACTTCATCATCTCTTTCACTACTCTCTTGATTATTTTAGACCTCATCAACTTAGTCTAATAAATAAAATTAATCATTAGTTTTTATATATAAATAAGTGCTTACTTTTATTGCTTTCGATTTAATTTTCTCCAACTACAATAGGTACTAATTTATTTGCTAAATCACTTCGATCACTCTGCTAATCAATCATTTACGCAAAAAGAAAATCTTCTTCTTCCTACTTCTTAAGTATTTTTTGCACTTGCTAGAATTTTATAAGCTCATAAACTTATAATTCTGCTGCTTATTATTCATGTTATGAAAACAATTTCAAATTTTCCTCCTCTATTCTTATTTATTCTTGATGAGCTTATTCATGATCACCTATTTGATATTTTATTATTCGATCTTGACAATATTGGCAATCGACATAATTCTCTTCACACTCATATTAAACATGCACTTCCTACAAATTAATGTAAGCATTACTTATTTCTTACCATATATTCTATATCATATTTATTGAAGCAGAAATCACACTCTAAAAGAATAATTCCACAAAAATTATCTTGATGATCAATCAATTCTTGTTCATCAAAAGTTTAAAAATTCTCACAATCACTACATTTTAGAAGTTTTCTTAATGTTTATTCAACCTTATCTTCAAAACTAAAACCCCTGTGTAAGTTTTCTTTTTAAGATTTCATTTTAGGGGACAACAATTCGATTATAAGTTAGAGCTTATTGTTTAACTCAGAAATCTCATTACTTTACTTTTCCTCCTCTTTTTTCATATGATCCTCTATAAGTAAGCTATAAGGCTTTCTTTGAATATACATTTTCTAAGAAATGGCATTGAATAATTCACTCTCTTGTTCGTCTTCTAAAATAATCTTGATTACTTTTAATGATCCTGAAGAAGATTGTTTGCTTAGATCATATTAATCAATAGCATCAAATATTGCTTGGAATATTTCGGTTTTAGGTTTGAGATTTTTCATTGATTTCAAACACGCAGGAATTGCTATAGACTCATACTTTTTTAGATTCCCAATCTAAATAGCAGTCTAAAGAAATTTGACCATTTTTTATTTGTTCTCTTCTTTTTACTATTCAGTCAGATCTTGACTTATATGAAATTCAGGAGGATTTATTATGATGTCATATTTATGACCAGATTTCAACTTTGCATCCATTATATTCCATTGTAATTCTTCTTTTAATTATGAGAGTATCTCTTATCTGATCTTATTCTATTGCTCATCTTCTTCATCTATTATTGCGACAGCATCTAAGTCAATAACTACTGCTTTGGTGTCTTATAGCCTTAATTTACCACGGACAATGTGTAGAAAGAAGTTTTAAAGTCTGACCTCAGTAGAATTTTCTGACAATTTGTATATCTAATCCTTTAGCCTCGCCTCTCTTTCCTAGTTTCATTATCACTCCTACATTAACTTTCTCTCTTTAACATTTACTACTACAGGCTGCATAACCTTAATGTTCCTAAATTGAGGAGTTTAACTCTTAAAGCCTTGATGGTTCATTTGATGTTTTTGATTAAGTTTGAATGAAATTTATTTTAATTATAAAATTAGTTTATGGCTTTAATTCCTCAATTTTTGACTCTAGGGGTTTTGGGGTTTTGGGGTTTTGGGG